GCTTGATTCGAAAAGCACTCCTCGCCCTGGACGTCAACAAGTCGAGTGGACCTGATGGAGTCCCTCCCATTGTGCTGAAGACGTGTGCTCCAGAGTTGGCACCGGTTTTAACGCGTCATTTTCGGTACTCCTACTCCCTAGGCGTAGTCCCGAATTCATGGAAGACGGCTTTGTTCCATCCGATCTCTAAAAAAGGTCGATCGCCATCACCTCCTTGTTCTATAAAATAATGGAGTCCATTATAAACTCTCAGCTCATGAGGTACCTTGAGGATCGCCAGCTGATTAGTGACCGCCAATACGGTTTTCGTCGATCAGCTGGTGATCTTCTGGTCTACCTGGCTCATAGATGGACGGAGGCAGTAGTCCAAGGGGGAGGCATTGGCCATTAGTTTGGACATAGCGAAGGCCTTCGATCGGGTCTAGCACAAAGGCCTTCTTTCGAAGCTCCGTTCCCATGGGCTTCCAGAGAAATTGTGCAATTGGATCACCAGTTTCCTTGCTGATCGGAGCTTCAAGGTCGTTGTAGACGGTGCATGCTCTGATTACAAGCCTACTAACGCTGGTGTTCCACAAGGCTGCGTGCTATCACTAACGCTGTTTCTTCTGCATATCAATAATATGTTGCAAACTGGTAACATTCATTGCTATGCAATCGACAGCACTGGTGATACTCTATACACCGACCGTTTCAATATTTCTCGGGAAAACGTCGCCGAGTACTGGGATAAACTTGTGTCTGAAGTCGAGTCTTTGCTGAACAAAGTCTCGGATTGGGGGCGACTAAATCTAGTCCAGTTCAATCCCCAGAAGATACAAGTTTGCGTGTTTACCGCTAAAAAGAACCTCTTTGTCGTATCTCCTCAGTTTCAAGACACTTTCCTTGCTGCCTCAGCTAGTATCGGAATCCTCGGCTTGGACATATCGAAGTGTGTAGTTTCCTGGTCACTTGGAAGAGAAGGCCAAATTGACCTCTAAAAAGCTTGGCGTGGTTAGCAGAGCGAGACAGTATTTCATGCCGGCACATCACAAGTGCAAGTTCGCCCTCACATGGAATACTGTTCTCATCTCTCATCTCTGGGCCGAGGCACCCCAGTGCCAGGCTCCTTCCATTGGACCGCATCCAGCGTAGAGCGGTTCGAATTGTCAACGACCGAGTTCTTTCTGATCGGCTCGATTCACTGGAACTTTTTATTCCATCCTCTGTGGTGCTCATCGGAGGCGGATCCCAGCCATGGTTTGGTCGCTCCTGTAAAATAGCATCACGCTATAAGCAGGATTGCTACCGGGCCTGGGTTGACGCATTAAGGCCTCGGTATGTAAACACCAGCGGTCTCAAAAAGAAATATAATTCCGCCTCCAGGTCCTTCAAAACAGTCATTGCCAAGGCAAGGTCTGAGCACATCGGCTGAATTGGCGAGAAGCTAGTTCACCTTACTTCGGGAAAGATATTTTCTATCGAATCAACCACGGGGAGTGCTCTGAGGAATTGTTCGGATTAATTTCAGCCGCCAAATTTCACAAACGCACATCGCGTCAAAATTCACGATACCATCCTCACTATCTGGATGCTTGGCGACCCACCACTGTGCGTGTTACTAGGAGTTTTCTTCCTCGTACAACTTGTCTGTGGAATTTTTTACCACCGGGTGATTTTTCCGGACCGATACGACTTAGGGGCCCTCAAGGAAAGAGCTTACACCTTTCTAAGAGGCCGGCAACGCACCTGCAATGGGCGTAGGTAGTCATTTACCATCAGGTGAGTCGCATGCTCGTTTGTCCCCTCTTCTATAAAAAAAAAACACATCGAATCAACATCCTAAAGATGATAGGGAAACTTTTTGACTTGTGGATTTGAATGGTTCAGCTTCGTGATAGCTCAGGGCCTCCTAAGCACACGCTGCAAATTTCAAGCAACCCAGGTTCGATTTCCCGTCATCAATTAAATTAAAATGCATTTTTAAGTGTTGATTTGCTAAGATGAAGGAAAATGGCAAGGAAACCCTGCATATCTGAGAAAAAAATATCGAAGACATGTCAACTCCTCTATTTGAGGCATCGTAGCGGGATACCTTCCTTGCCCTAAAACACTCTCAGAAATAAGTGTGGGCCTGTAAAAAACCTCAAATGGTTATTCTTGACTCCTCGACGAAAATGGTTAAAAATGTTGTACATGGGTAGGTATAACCATGTGTCAACTAAAATGTTATACCAGTTCAAATACCAACCTCATATATGCACTCTGCTGAGCGACGAACGCACACGAAAAAAGCGTGTATACCTATATATATTTCAATATTAGATATCTATGTTTTATATATTTGTCGAAGTGTCTATAAAGTACCGGTTGGATCGAGGTGGAATTGAGGGTATATCGCGAAACCCCCACTAGTTTGTGCAAAATAAAGTTCACTGTAGGCGCCGTGCGCGAGAGATTCCGCCATAGATTACTGTGTAGATTCCGCTTAAGACATTCTACGAGTGTAATCATTCTACTAGTGCTGAGATAGTGTGGTGGTTCTGTTCGTTATTGTAATTCTTATAGTGCAGGCAAGGAGGATTGGTGTTGCACAGAGGCTGCCTGTGTTATATGTTGGTTTACATACTTTGGTGTTATCATGTATTACGTACCTCACATTACACTGGTGTGTGATCGTGGCGGGGACGTGTTACGGTGTGGCCGAAATGTAATTACACTATCCTCTGTTGAATTCTCCCACATATTAATGTGTATAGTGTAATACAGCTAGCTTAAACAAATTTAAACGTTTAACAAATTACGGTCGAATTCCGACCAATAGGCGACCACGATTCTTAAAAATACCAATTTCCAATCAACGAACATTTTACATTCTGTAGGAATTATATACTTACAAAAATTTGGCTATTCTACTTGATCGGGTCAGACATAAACTTGACCTTATGTAGTTGTGTTGTGCTGTCAGCTCCGTGAATAGTGATGTACGGTGATTTCTCTATAAGTCAACCGTTACCGTCGGATGCATTTAAAATTCATACAAGTAGATACATTGGCCATATAAAGCAGCTAAACGCACAGCTGGCTCGTAAACAACATTTTTATAATAATATATTAAAACACTTCTTAGCAGAACACCGAATTAAAAATCAGAAAAGTGTGAACCGATATAAATGATCCTTTTTTATTAAGTAGATTACTTATTTCAAAGATGGCCATTTAAATTTGCAGAAAATATTCCACCCCTAAGTGGAAAAAATGGGGGATAAGCTTTGTACTTAACTATTTAGACGACATTCTAGTTGTTACCCTGAGGGTGTGATATTACTTAGTTCACTTAAAAGGGTTAAATAAGTAATGAAAAAAGTAAAAACTTAAAACTACCCCTGAAGAATAAACCTGTTTAATAAAAAAGAAATATTAAATTCGGTTTACAATTGACGAAGATATCGCCTAACATACATCGCAAAACATAGAGTCGAATAGAGAACCTCTTCACTTTTTAAAGCCGGCTAAAAACTGATATAGTTTTAAACAGTAAAAAAACTAAATGGAATAAAATAACTTCCACCCTATCACATAATTTCCGATTTAAGAAAAGGAAGAGGTTCTATGTTCGGCTATATTTTTTTTATGTATGATTTCCGATTTCTCCGTCAATTGAAATTCAATTTTGAAGATTCTTTTTTTTATTAAATAGATCAACGTCAGGAGTGGTCCCATATAAATTTGGAGAAAATATTCCGCCCCTCAGCCCTAAGGATAGCAAAATAGGAGATTAAGTTTTTCATATAACTATTTTGTTGATATTGAAATGGTGATATTCCTTAGTCCACTCAAAAGGGTGAAAATATAACTTTTAACAAAAAGTTAAGTTTTGGGGACTTTATTTCTTCTATACACTATGGTTTAGCACCCACTTCATATGTAAAATTATTTCATTCTCTTTAGTTATTTGACTTCGGCTTTTACTTTTTATTGTTTTCGATACACTGGTCTTAACACCGAAAATGATCTAAAAATCATCATCATTATATTCTTTTGTTTTTAAAGTCTGTTTTAATTTTTTAAGTTTAATTATTACTTTTTCTAATATGTACCCTCTGTATTGGAAAAAGTTATAATTGCTGTGCGTCGACTACTACTGTGCTGTGTTCCAGTCTGAAGAGTTAAGAGAGCCAGTATAATTACAGGGTGTGAGGCATTCCATTTAAGACCTCCGAGATGACAACGTATCCTCCGCTTTCTTTATTTGAAGTTGGTTGCAAGTTCGTTTGACAGTAAGGTTCTAGAGAGGCAGCCTCGTACCGGCAAGCGAAGTGTAGGACGGCTCTTCACTAGATACGAGTGACGACCTGGTAAGACGAAGATGCGGAAAGCCAATGGATTCAGGTGGCCCAGGACCGTACTTTATGGCGTAACTTGGGATAGGCTTATGTTCAGTAGTGGACTCGTGAAGGGCTGCAATGATGATGGTGATGAAACTTAATGATAACTTACGGTCACTGTTGGTTATTTTCACCCGACTGCCTTAAGAGAATAATGTTGTTCAGGTGTGTAAACAAAATAAATACTTCTTTACATCCTGTATCCTAAACAGTCTTGACCTCTGGAGTATCGCAGCTGTATTTTATGCGATTGCCACAAACCTTTTTACAAATAAATGCAATCCTAGCTTCTAAACTTATCAGAATCTTAGAATCCGGTGGACGACACCTTTATATAACTACAATAGATTCCAGCAATAAGTAATATAATTTTCAGACTGAAACCTTCTATATTGGTACTCAGGGATGACAACTCATCTGTAGCCTTTTTGTGTGACGTTGGCTGTAAGCTCGTATATCACTTCAGTTTTATAAGAAGTAAGATTTTACGTGAATCTATTTAATAAACTGAAATTGAATTTGATATATTTAAGATGCATATATTTAGAAAAAGTTAGGTACAATTGAATGGATATAGTAAAAACTTCAACACATATTTAATAATTATTTTATTAAAGCAATTACATATAAACTAATCTACTGCACTTTCCTGTGATACTCGGGCGTGGCGTTGCCATAGTCCTGCAAATTGAATAACGTTGATCTGTTCGTCACCATGTACTTTAGGAAATCTTGAATATGCGTCAGAACGTGTTGCAAGGACTTTTCGTCCAACGCTGTGTACGCTAACATCGGCCCCATCTTTGCAAACAAACGCAACAAATGTATTGAGCCGTAAATTTGGGCCATCGGTGTGTCCGGATATTCTTGCAATATTTCACTGTACTGTGGTCTTTCGAATTTGTACAAAAGTTGTGATCCGAGTGTTGCATTAAAATATTCCTTTATTCCTTCGGTGATGTCAACTAGAACTGATTCCTTTGCGGAGTTGTGAGACTTACTGGACTTTTTAAATGCGAGGTAATTGTCTACGATCTGCTCCACGGTGAGTTTCGCGGGCAAAAGGGCCAGCTTTTGTTGTCTTGTGATCACATCCCAGTCGTCGACCAACCACACTTTCAGTTCCTCCGGTATTTTGATTTTGACTTCAACTTTCGCTAAATACTGCTCCTCCGACTCGATCGACAAATCGAGGCGGCCCCGTTTCTTTCTAAAATACAAAACGCAAATAATATTAAAAGTTTATGACTACAAAATTTTCTGCAAAACAAAAAACACGTTGTGTACTAGCGTTTAAATATAGTTAGGTAGTTTTATACTTAAAAAGCCAAAAAACCGCTTTTATTGGAATATGAAATTACTAAGAAGTATAACATAATTTTTAAATTTGAATTTTTTTGAATTGAACCAGTATAATCTTTATATGTAAAAATTACGTGTCACGTTGTTTGTCCGCGATGAAGTTCTAAACTACTGAACTGATTTCAATGACATTTTGCACACTGTGTGCGGTTTGGTCCAACTTGAGAGATAGGATAGTTTTTATCCCGATAAGTGACCCTCAATTTTTTTATTGCTAATCTCAGGAGCTTTTTGAAAGCAAATGGTCGTCGGAAAGGGCAGAACAACGTCTGCCTGGTCAGCTAGTACTATATAAAAGATGGAATATCTTAATAAGTAACACATTGCTGCCGCAGAAGAAATAATTGTGGTAATATAATTCTAAATTTGAAAGTTATATTGTTTAATTAGGAATTATTATACAATCATTGAAATGGAATAATAAATGACTTTGAAATAATTTGTCGGTACGATATGCGCGCCAACTACTGTAAGTTAATTGTACTATGCCTATAATCTTCGCGCAAGTGCAAGCAATAAATTGATAAAGTTTTAGCGCAATCTGATGACCGGTATGGCAGTGCGTACAATACGAACAAACAAAAATTAATTTTAATATATATTCTTATTATTAATTATCAACTCTAAAAATACTACCTAATACCTTATATATGCAATATTCATCATTACAGCCTGTCAAAAGTCTACTGTCGAACATAGACTTCTTCTATAGAATGCTTCATAGGGGAGATATATTCTATAGTTGCCACGGTTGGCAGGAGGATTGACAACCAGTTTTTTATTATTATTATTTTGAATTATTTACCCATCACCTGTTTCATCTACGTCTGTCGCCTTTTACGACACCGACGGGATCAAATGGGGTAGTGGATTTTCTTAGGCCTCCAATACACGGCGTAATCTTTGCAATAAAGTTAAAAAAATATTGATAAAAATAGATACAACTTCTTTCTTTGTAACGTAAAAAAATGCAGAGTAAAACTATGAAACTGTAAGTAGAGAGTAGAGCACACCACACTAATTTTTTACATTTATAGGTATATTAGCAGACTTCAAATAATTTAAAATTAAAAATTTTGTACAGCCGACTTCAATATAAGTTATTTAAGAATAACTTAAAAACTATTGGTCTGACCTTGATCAAATTCATATGGGACCACACGAGAAGTACCAGCTTTCAAATAAAAAAAGAATCATCGAAATCGGTTCACCCAGAAAAAAGTTCTGAGGTAACACACATAAAAAAAAACGAAAAAAAAAAACATACAGTCGAATTGAGTACCGGCTCCTTTTTGGAAGTCGGCAGAAAAAGGGGAGATTCTCAATTTTACTGTATGTTACGTGATATTTTGACTATGTTACCATAAGCTTGTGATATTCCGTAGTCGATAAAGGACGAAAAAATTAAATTATTAATAAAAAGTAAAGCCGCAACGACTTTAAGAGTGTGATATTATTTTATTCTTTTTAGTTCTATTCTCATAACGTGGTAAAGCCATGCTGCAGTTATATTGGTAGTATAGTTGTAGCATGAAGGAGTCGGCTCGACCGGGGAAGGACCACGTTCTCACAGAATACCAGTGTAAAATAGCAGCTTACCACTGCTGTGTTTCGGTATGGTAAGTGTAGACAACCGGAGACCTTTTTTAGTGGAAAACAGGCATTCCATCTTAGTCCTCACGGCTGACAACGCACCTGCATTTTGATTCGCAAACGAGAATAGATGTAGATGCTATGGCCCATACATTGCAACCACTTACTATCAGGTGGAATGTTTGCTCGTTTGTCACCCTATCCTATTGAAGTCGGCTTTCCCTTTTTGTTAAGTTACTTTTTTAACCCCTTTATGGAACTAATTCATCGATTCAAGCGATTTCATCAAATTTAAATTAAAAAAAAATCGTCTTAGAAAAGGAGATGTCTCCATACATTCTTGGGCCCAGGTGTTAACAAGATGAAAGTCAGACCATTTGAAAGCTTATATATAAACAATTTATAACTGAAAATCTGGCAAGATTTGTCAATCTAGGGGCTGAGTTATTGTAGCATAAGTAAAAGTGATTTTATGTATTACCTAGACTGTAAGAGGTGATTTTTCACTGTAACAGGTTATTTTTACTATAATTACTTAAGGTGGAAGCGCCAGGGTAGCCCGCGAAATTCAAATTTTCTTACGTTTTTTGCAATTTACAGGTCAGTGTCAGGTTGTATGTTTAACAAAATATGATTCGCGACCGTAACGAGTATGTATTTACAGAATTATAATCATTATAATCATCAATACAACCGTCTATGTTCGTATACATAGACTGCACTAAAAGTATCGGGAATGGAATATTTCCACTGTTCCTGTCATATTAAAATCTTTTAAATTGAAAACTCCTTGGTTTTAAAAATCGAATACCATTTATTTATTTAAGGGGCTACTCCATGCGATCGACCTTGAGCATTTGGTGTGCTGCGCCGACTCGCTACAATATAATATCGCGTAAGAAATATGTAAGGCGCCACCTACTGTAAGAACGTAGTATTTTTTCAACATCAATAAACTATTTTATGGAAATACACACAGCGTACAACGATAAATGTATCTAATTTTTTTTATTCGGTATATTAGTTGCATTATATTAGAATTATGTATTCTCATATATTATCTAATTATGAAATTTTATAATTAATTATATATTAAAAATGAAGCATTGAAAATTGTGAGTTTAAAAGATACCTACTCACTATAGGTAAATAGATAGATAGCTCGCCTTTTGTACAAATATTTGGTGCAATAAAGAATAAATAAATAAATAGGATGTTTCGCAGAGTGAGAGTAATATAGAATGAGAGTCATGGAGGCAGTTTAGAAACATAAATTGCACAAGGACAAACATCCAGACCCGGAACAATTATTTGTAGGCCATACAAATACTTGTTCCGTGCGGGATTCGAACCCGCGGCCCCCAGCGCAGCAACTGATTGCTAAGCCACTGCGCCACGGAGCCGTCGCCGGGTTATAACTAAAGTGACCATAAGTCCCGTTTTGAACGGGACTGTCCCTTTTCTCGGTCACCTGTCCCATTGTCCCCAAACAAAGCTCCGGGACACAAAATTGTCCCGTAACGCGTTGGATGGAAGTATTCAAAGTCAACAATCTTCAACATAATTTTTTTTAATCGAATATATTTTATGTCTCCCTGGTAAAAATGCTCCAGTAGAAAGAGTATTTTTTTATTTTGAATAAATTGTGGACGTCTGAAAGAAACACTTACGGTTCCAGTTCTAAAGGCGATGTTGTTAACAAAGGTAACAATAAAAAAACTTGAGCAGAATTTTATTCTTATTTAAAATTATCACCAACTTTATTAAAGCAAATTTAATCCACTGACAAATGTAATTAATAATTTAAAAAAATATGTTGCATTTAATAATTACCGTCTAAACCGAATATAATTTTATATTGAACACTAATTGTGTAAAGTTATAGTTTTTAGAGTATAAATAAACCCATGTCCTGTTTTGAGTTAAAAAATAAATGGTCACTTTAGTTTTTTTAGTTAAATTTAGTTTTAAAAATTTTTAGTTTATAGTAAAAAGTAGGTATATTAATACCTACTTAGATACTTTTTACCGAATTAGGGTGGAAGCCCCTAATACCAGTCATGCCCCTAATTCCAGTCTTTTCGCCTTTTTACTCCATAAATAAGATTTCTAGTAGTCTTAACTACAAATATTTTCATCTAAAAAATTCTTTGTACCTAGAGGAAACTATATTTATTCAAATATTACCTCGCAGTTTTAAACCTAACAGTGTTAAAATCAAAACAGGTACGCAACGAAAAACGATCATTTTCCTAATTATTTGACAAGTTATGATCCCGGTAAAATTATGCTTACTTTACATTATCTCATATATAGGCTTTTTGATTTGTATGAATATGACTATAGACATAGTAATGCAGTTATTTTTGTTTGAATTTACAACTTATTTATTTTCCTTTAGTGGAAATTAATGGGGCTGTAATTAGATAATATAAGAAATGTATGGAGAGCATAATGTCAGCCGCCCGGCTGTTATTTGGTTTGACGTACCTAATAAGAAGTACCTAATTTCAGCCACGTAATATAAATCAGGGCTGCCATAAACTGGAATAAATACCATTAATTAGATCATAACTTATTTTATAGCTAAGGGAGTTATGATCAATTCGTCTGTTTTAAAATTGGTTTTAGATTTTAAAGTTTAGGAAAAGAAGCTTTTCTCTCTGACATTCGGCGTATAGAACACCTTATGTACTCAACTATTTTTTGAAAAAGAAGAAAAAACAAGCAATAAATAAAAACAAAAACGGGCCAAAAACTCATAACTGACTTTTTGGCCAGACCCGGGATTCAAACCCGAGACCTCATGATCAGCAGTCGCACTACTACAACCACTAGACCAACGAGGCGGTACTATACCTAATAAGATATTGTGGTTGGGTGATAATATTGAATTAGCCTTTTATAGTGTAAATTATAATATTTGTCGAAATTTTAATTATGGATTCGAACCTTACATGCTACTGGTGCTTCATTTTTTTATTTGCATTTACTTCAAAGAAAATACACGCAAAAAGCTTCATCGCGCAGTAAACAACACAACAAATATATGTATAACTAATACGAAAAATTATACCCAAAACAAACAAATAATACTACCTATAAATAACCTAATAAGTAATAATATTATAATATTATCGACTGATAAGATGACGTGAACGTGTGCGCTGGCAGACGCTCTAACGACACGGGTTCCACGTGTAAGAGCTCAGGGCTCACTGACTCCAGCAAGCCCGTGAGCAGTGACTACGCCCA